ACCCTGTATATTTTTGAAAAACAATTCAATTGGGCTACCACTAGATCAATTCTAAATTTAAAAGAAATTTTGTAAAATTTTGAAGTTAATTGATCAGAAAAAACACGTGTCCCTGAGGGTTTTTTTTAAGATAGGTAATTTATGAAATTGTAAGTGTTATTTTTGCAGATTTTTTTTAATTCAAACATATACCTACAAATTATATATGTATATGTGTATTTGAAATTATAATAAAAAAATCTATCTAAATGTTCAAAAATATACAGGGTGTTTCATTGGAAAAATCAATGTTATATCTACATATCGCTCATTCGAAACAACAGTGACACAACTCAAAAATCAGTTTTTAAGAAAACGCATTTTAAATTTGTTATTACTGTTTTCCATTAACCAAGCCGGGCTAAAAAAATAAAAGCTGGGCTCAAATATTTTGGTTGTTTAGGCATACTCTCTAAAAAATAGTACCTAATAACAAATTTAAAATGCGTTTTCTCAAAAACTGATTTTTGAGTTGTGTCACTGTTGTTTCGAATGAGCGATATGTATTTCATCAATTTTACCGATGTTTTTTTGTTTTTTAATTTTTGTCAAAAATTTTTCATAAAATTATTTTTTCAAACCATGCAAGCTAGATTTTTTAATTTTTTAATTTATTTTCAAATAAAGATTTTAAAGAAGTGTCCCATTTATACGAAAACACCCTGTACATAAATATATTTTTAATGTCAATTAAAATATCAAATACCAATTAAATACATCAATTTTACCAATGCTTTTTTGTTTTTTAATTTTTGTCAAAAAATTTTCATAAAATCACTTTTTTGACCATGCAGCTGAATTTTTTATTTTTTTAATAATTATATTAATTTTTAATTTAATATATGTAATACAATATAATAATATTTTCAAATAAAGATTTTAGAGGAGTGTCCCATTTATACGAAAACACACTGTACATACATAGATTTATTTTTAATGGCAATTAAAATATCAAAAAATATCAATATTAAAAATATCAAATACCAATTAAATACATCAATTTTATCAATGCTTTCTTGTTTTTTAATTTTTATCAAAAAAAATTACTTATAATAATATGTATGTAAGTGGTACCCTATTTGATATTTTAATTGTGGTATAAATGTATAAATATAATATTATGTATGTCCAGGGTGTTTTCGTATAAAAACTTTATTGAAAGAGAAATTTAAAAATCCAGCTTGCATGGTTTAAAAAGTAATTTTTTTGATAAAAATTATTATTAATATTACTAATAATAATTATAATTATTAATTAACTATCTACCCACTTTATCTAATTATTATTTATAATAATTAATAATAATTATTATTAATTAATTATCTACCCAATTATTATTTAATTATCATTTAAAAGTAAAATTCTATTTTAAAAAAATATGCCTCTATGTATACATTCTATGTATACATACATATGTACATTTTTAATTAAAAATAAATAAATTTCACACGTTTCAGAGGCATATTTATTATTATTATTACTAATAATAATTATTAATTAACTATCTACCCACTTTATCTAATTATTATTTATAATAATTAATAATAATTATTATTAATTAATTATCTACCCAATTATTATTTAATTATCATTTAAAAGTAAAATTCTATTTTAAAAAAATTTGCCTCTATGTACATATACATTCTATGTATACATACATATGTACATTTTTAATTAAAAATAAATAAATTTCACACGTTTCAGAGGCATATTTTAAAGTGGGTAGATAGTTAATTAATAATTATTATAATGATAATTAAATAATAATTATTATTATTAATTATTATAAATAATAATTAGATAAATTTAAGTGGGTAGATATAGGTATCTAACTATAGTTAATTAATAATTATTATTAGTAATAATAATTATATAATGAAATAGAATAGAAATTACCTCTCAGAACAGCACTAGGAATTGTAAATAAATAAATTCTTTTGGTTACTTACTTTACTCAATGATGAAATAATAAACCACTAAATTCAGACACAAATAATCCTAGGACAAATAATATTATGACTGCAAATAAAAAATTGTTGTCGTCTCGTTGCTAAGCGACGAGTTTAGTGAAAGGAGGGGTAAGAAGCTCGCGTGGGAGATCGGAATTTCAAACAAATACCCCTTATTTTATCATATTTTCAAGCTTGGAACATTGGTGGGTAGATGGCGACACCTTACGGACACATTTTCTTGTAAATTAATAATAATACGCCTGGCACAGATCGTCCTACCACCTTGCGTCTCTTCACACACTTTACTCAATGATATAAGTATGTTGACATTAATATAGAAATATAACACTAACAGGATATTTAGTCCTTACCTTAAAAATGAAATGCATATTTGACTTGTTTTGATATTTTCATCCATTTTGCTTTTACATGGGCTTTAAAATAGGCTAACACATGGAAAATTAAAAAAACGCATCATTTTATCCTTTATCATATAAATGTTAACTTCTAGATAGAAATATAAAACTTACAGGAAATTTAGTCCTTATCACAAAGTTTAAAAGCTTGTATAGCTTATTTTTATTTTTTTTATTTTTTTGTGGTTGTACAGATGCTTTAAAAGCAGCAAAAATAAGAGCGATAGTAATAGGTGCGAAAAATAAACTATTTTTTTGTTTAGCCTGGGTGCGGGATCGTTTCCTTTTATTTAATCAAATATACCTGTTAAATTACTTTGAAAAATATTTAGTCCTTCAAGTTCCTTTTTTATTTTAAAATAGGGACAAATTTTTGTTGCAGCTCTTTGCTTGTTTTATTTTTATGCGACTGCAAGACGGATTCCACACCCTACACTCCCATTATTTAAAAAAAAATTAAGTTAACTTACTTGGTAAAATCTTTCTTTGTTTCCATTTGTGGTGTAGATTTTCTACAAGCCGTCCCTCGCGGTGTTTCCACATACTGACTTAGATGCCTCAGTGACCATCTTAATGTGTCTTTCCATAGCCTGAGTATGGCATGGAAAATTCAACATTTTTATGGTATCGGGAATATTAAAAACCATTTTCCTAATATCTGCTTCAGGGATACTTTTTGTCAATGGAGGTTCTGTGATTAAAGTTCACTTCTGGCACTTTAAAATCAAGTTTCAGGTAAGTTTTGGAATCTCGACATTTTAAAATTCGATAAGGCCAACTCTCCAATGTGTTTTCTGTCATCGCCCAGCATTGCAATTAAAACATTTACCGAATGAGCCAAAAGGGCATTTTTTTGGATAACCTTATTTACAATGTCTTTGAATTTGGTCGGCAAATATCGAGAAGCTTGGATTAAATGAAATAAATGTAGGGGGGCCATACTCACAAGCTGACTTGTAAGTACTTTACAAGAAACCAGGTTGTGGCATATACCTTAATAACATACTTGGTTAATATATTTAATTCATAATATGGTTCTTCTATTGTAACATATAATTTTAATAATCTGTTTGCTGTTGTTAACCATCGTGCATGGGACATTTTTTCTGGCTGTTTTGCTGCTAACTGGGGGGAAACCTTGCCTTCTACTATTGCCAGAACCATTTCGTACAACTACTTTTGGTCTGTACCTTAATCGCTAAAGTTTATTGGAGGCAATTCAACGTCACGTTTAATTATCTGAATAACTAAGCTGCTTTTCTATAGGACCGATAAAGCCTTTTGGATCATTTGTTTTTCCATTTATATTATAAATTAAATGACAAATACTGTTCATTACAGTGCAACAGGCATATAAACCAATGAATCGGTTTTCCTAGGGAAACTTCTAACTGTTTTACAACACCATTTTTGAAGCCTGTATTTACTACCGTACCGTCACAACCCACTGCCGCAATTTTGTTTAAATTTTCACCCAAATAATCTTAAATTAAGTTAAAAAGGCTTGTCTTAATACTACTGGCACTTTCAGCAGTAGGGGTTAGTTACATGACCTACGTAAGTAGAACCTGGTTCTGCAATAAGAACTATATGTTCCTCAATAATTTGCTTACTGTGATAAGAAGATCCAATTCATTCAAATGCGAGTTTCTTTTCTTCCGTCAAAGTAGATTCCAGAAACTTCTTTTTTTTTGCCGAATTTTCATATTAACCAAATTTTCCCTTCGTCGTTTCCTTTCTCTTCTTATTGTACTTCTGCCGATGATTAAAGAATGATCCTAGTCACTTACTTACCAGGAGAGAGGCATTTATATCTATTCTAGAGTCCACTTTTGGAAGGCACTCTAGAAAACGTTGATGCTTGTGACATATCAGACTCGGTAATATCGATGGCATCCATTTGGTCCTCTTTTTCTGAACTTTTACTTTGAACAATATATTCTGAATTTGTGTCTTTATTTTTTTCTTCAAATCTCTTTATCTCAAACTACTTTCTTTCCAATAACTTGGCCATTTTCTTGGTGGTTTTAATATCGATATTTCCGATCATCATCATTCTTTCACCTCTCTGGTCTTTTAAAAATTCTCGTTCATTATAGGAACTTTGATTTTAAATTAAAAGTGAGACATTTGCACGGAGAAATGTCGAAGAGTTTTAAACTTTTTTTTTTAATATTTTAATTTTTTCAAGCAGTTTATTTTTCTTAATCACCTTATAGTATAAGATTACAATGAGTATAAGGCTTATACTTTTCATTGTAATCTTTTATTTTCTGAATTATTCTTTGGTCTGAAATAATAGGAAGGGAAGCTTTTTGCCAAATAGATTTAATATTAACAATAACTTTTTTACAAATGTCCAAAACCTTGAAAATATATATATATATACATCTATTTATCTTTTCAGCGTCTTTTCATAACGCAACCTTTTAGCGTCCATGAAAGTTTATCTAATTTAATTTAAGCTCATAGATGGCGTACATTGTACTGTGTTTAAAAGTGTAATGTATATTAAATTTATTTGGATTGGTTAGGATTAAATTGACATTTTCTACTATGCTGTTTTTCAGCGTCCGACTATTTTGCTATCGTTTCAACGTCCTCTAAATTGATCTATCATTACGTTATCTATCGTGCGTCCAGATGTATACTTTAGTAACAAGTCGTCGCTGATTCTGCGTCTGGCAATGTTGCCTGACTTAACGGTTAAGTCCTAACCAAAAAAAATATAAAATAAATCAAAGTGGTGTTCTTTAAAAGTGATAAGTCGTTAATTCTAAAATGGGTTCAAGGGGAAAACGAATTTTACAGATAGTATCTCGTTTATCTCCAGGTAAGTGTATTTTACTTTTATTTTTTAATTTTTTTTACCAATTTGCATTTTATAATAAAAACAAAAAATAAGTTAGATTAGGCATAAATCTTACAATAGAGTCTTGCTAAATTGATCTATTATTTTATCTACTTCGAATTTTCAAAACAATGCAATAATGCCTATCTATGTATGTAAGAAATGAGACCAAATGTTTTAAAGATGATTACATTTATGGAGTACCTACAAATGGCACAAATAACGAACTAAAAAGAACAATTAATAATTTGCAAAAATCTACAACCTCAAAATATCAAGTTTACAATGTTATATAAATTATATAATATAATAAATATATAATATTGTAAACATTTATTGAGTAAAATTTAAAATTTACAAACTAAAAATGAATTAGTCAAAAATGACTTTAATAGTTATGTGGCTGCTTTTTCACTTGTAAAATGGTTAACCATGGGATACCATGGTATCCCAAAATTTAACAGCCAATTTTTATGTAAAATTGTCTGTCCCCTGAATCCAAAAATGTCGTCAAAATTTAAAAAAGTAAAACAGAAGATATAGTCAATTTTCCATTTAATATGGAATTGACTATATCTCAAAAACTGCTCAAATATCATAATTTTTGACGGTATTTTCGGATTCAGGGGACAATTTGACATAAGAATTGTCTGTTATATTTTGTGATACCATGGTATTCCATGGTTAATCATGGTACAAGTGAAAAAGCAGCCACTAATAACTATTAAATTAGTCATTTTTTTTCGTCTAGAGTAACTACGAGTTACTAACTAGATATGGTAAAATAATACGGGGATACCACTAGTAGTAAAAATACCATCAGTAATAAATTTAACTACTGTCTGTCCACTCTAAGTTGGCGGAACTAAGGAATTTTGTAGTTTAGATATTAAAGAATTGTCGTACTGTGTGCTTTTAAAACAGATTTTATATTATAAATAATACTAGTACATATTATATACTAGTATTATTTATAATATAAAATCTGTTTAAAAAGCACACAGTACGACAATTCTTTAATATCTAAACAACAAAATTCCTTAGTTCAGCCAACTTAGAGTGGACAGACAGTAATACAATATTTATTATAAAATTTTGGATGCAAAATAAAAAACTACAATTTATGAAATATAATCTTAAAAAACTAAACCACTAAAACCAATGTTAGACTGGAATGTGAGTCTATACCTATATAAGTCTAGTTAGGTACCTTAATCCATTTTTTTGTATGTGTTTTGAATAAAAACTTTTATTTTCGTCCACGGCTTGTTACTTAAAAGATCTGAATATTTGCCCCTTAATTCTTCGCATTCTGATCTTTTAGGTGGCCTTTTTTGTTTGATATGACTTTTGAAGAACTCTAAAACAACTTGTTTCTGTTGGGATGTCCACGGAACCAGTTGTCGTTTTAGTACAAATTTGGTTGTTTCAGGATTTTTTGTTAATGGTGAAGATATCTGGTGGGAGACTGATCCCATTAGTGGCAACAGTTCCTCTTTCAACACTGGATTGTTATTAAATAAATAAATTTTGTTTTAACTTCCGGGGAGTTTGACTGAAAAGTTTTAATATAAATTAATAATAAAAATAAATAATTTTCAAAATTATAATTACCTCAACTTCGTCTATTTCCGTGTCCATGTCTAAATCGATTTCGTCCAAAGTTTTTCCTTTATATTTCCCTGCGTCGCCTTTTTCCATCAATAATAATAATTTTGCAATTTTTGCCGTCTGGTATACATCATCCGGCAGTCTGTATACTGTACTGTGTACGTTAAAAGTATGGCCCATAAAAGTGGCTAATTGTTCGATATCGTTATTTGACATGTTAAAGACCTGTGTCAAAGTGGCCAAGTGCTTCCTTAATTTTGTCGAAGTTAATGCCTCGGGATTTTTCGCCCCACATAATTTTGCGTGTTTTTGGACAACTTTATATCCAGTAATTGGTTCATTTGATTTTGTGGTAGCAAATAAAAAAAGATTGGTATTATCTATGAAATTTTTTCTGACATTTAAAATAAGCTTCATATGGTCTTGCATGTCGTTACTGAAGAGTACTGGTACACCTCTTCCTCGTTTTCCCCTAATAACCACTCTTTTAAAACTTTTTAGTAAAATTTTTTCTGCCGGTGTTATAGCTTCCGTAAATTCTTCATAACTTTGATTGTTCTTTTCTTCTACCGCCAAATAGGTAGCAAGTTTCATACGCTGAAGTTCTCCCACCCTCTTTCTATTCAGAAGAAGTAAACGACAAAATGCAGTTTCCATTAATAACTTAAAACTTTGAATATCTGTTTGATTTTCTTTAAGTTTTGTTTCCGCGTAATTTCCTTTTTGGATAAGATAGTTTCTAAATAGCTTTAGATCGGTTGCTAAAGAAATAATTGTTATTTTGTTCCAAGTTTTTGTGTTTAAGTCATGATGAGCTTGAGTTGAAATTTCATGCCTCCAAGTCGTTTCCAGTAGTTTTTTAAACATTGTTACATCAGCTTCAAATTCTGCAGTTGATAGGCTGTTGGACTGATACTTGCGTTTACATATGTGTAGAATAGCGATGTCGCAACAATCTTTTAGACTTCTGCTAATATTCATGCCAAAAGTAGGTGATTCGTAAACATCGGTTGTCGGATTGTATTTAGCAATTATTTTGGCACTTTGTACCACAGTATCAAAATATTGAGGATGAAGTAATTCATACATATTTTTAATATTAGAATTTAATCTACGGCATTCAATTAAAGTTTTTGCCAGTTCTCGCATTTTTCTAGAGCATACTAAGGCATGGTGCTGTTCTCTATGTGTTCTTAGATATCGCGATCCAAATGCGCAAATAAGATCATCTTTTTTTGCGCAGAGAGAAACCTTATCTGCTTGCATTCGCGGAAAAACTTTTTCGACTAAATCAGCTCCTGCATTACATTTATAGAGCAGTAAATTTTGTGTATCACGAATTGACGTACGTTTATCTGGGTTTGGGTTTTGTGAACATGTTTTCTTGTGACGCCACAACAACCGTCGGGAATACAGTCCATAACAAAACGGACAAGCCATATAGTTTTCTTCAGTATGGCTTAATTCACTTTTATGCACAGGTTTATATAAGTTTGAAGAATTTTTCAGGTAATTACCTTTTTTACGAAGCTGTGCAATTAGTCGTTTTCTTTCGACAGAATTTGACGCCAACGAATATATTTTTTGAACCTCTATTTCGCAAGAATGATTACGTTTGATATGTCGAGCAAAATTCAGAACTTCAGTTTCGCAATAAAAACACATATCTTTTTGTCGTATTTGCTTTGATTTTTTTTCTTATTCATAGAACGTAAGTCAATTAAGTTGTCAATTGGTTTTTTTTGGTCGAAACTTGCATTCACGGCTGTATTGATCTCCTTAAAATTTAATTTTTAAAAAACATTTTTAAAATACTTAGCGCTTACTTTTAAAGGTGATTTTTGTTGTATTTCACTAGGAGATTTAGTAAATAGAGAACAATCAGGTAAGTTCTAAAACAAAAATTATACATTATATGTCTTCACTTATTGGTTAATATTACTTGGGCAGTATCTGTATCAGACGGATAATATGTAGGGTCTGAATCGGTGTCTGAAAAAATTTCTTCACCATCAGATGAACTAAATAAATACTCATCGTGTGATAACCTATTTTCAATTTTTGTTACCCTATTATCATAGGTTTCATAAGAGTTTCGATTCTAAAATTAAAAGAATTTTCAGGATGGTATTTTGTACAAAAATTAAAATTTTACTTCAAATAAAACAATTGGACCTTTCTGTAACATTTCTGCAGTAAATGATACTTCCGATATCACTTCGCAAATAGGAGAATTAGTTCCAACATCAGGTAATTCCTAAAACAAAACAAAAAAATACATTTGATTACTTACCTATACAATTATTACTTTTAATAACAATTACCTTAGAATCCATTTCATATAAAGGACATGCAGGAACAATATTACTCTCTAATAAGCCTACTTCATCATTTAATTCTGCAAATATTATAAGCAATATTTTAATACAAAGGTAAGTATTTAACTGATCACTAACCTGTTGTTATATCGTTTACTAAAGAATACAAATTTAGGCTATCATCATTTGTAGCGTCGGCATCGCTGTCTGAAAAAGTTAATGATACTTCCGATATCACTTCGCAAAGAGGAGAATTAATTCCAACATCATTTAATTCCTAAAACAAAACAAAAAAATACGTTTGATTACTTACCTATACAATTATTACTTTTAATAACAATTACCTTAGAATCCATTTCATATAAAGGACATGCAGGAACAACATTACTCTCTAATAAGCCTACTTCATCACTTATTTCTGCAAATATTATAATTAATATCTTAATACAAAGGTAACTATTTAACTGATCACTGACCTTTTGTTACATCATTTACTAAAGAATATAAATTTAAGCCATCATCATTTGCAGCGTCGGCATCGCTGTCTGAAAAAGTCGGTTCATCATCAATTGGACTCAATGAACATTTATCAGGTTCCATTTTTTTATTAATTTTGGTTTGCTCAATATCCTTATCAATAATTTGATATAAGTTTTTGTTCTAAAATTAGTTAATTTGCAATATAATTATTATTTAAAAACTTGAATTATTTTAGTAGAAACTATTTGCGTACAGGAGAAGACGTTCCAATTAGTTAGTTTTTAATACATTAAAAATACCACAATAGTTTGGTTTTATTAATTTTTCTATTATTAACAATTACCTTAGGGTATGTATTACATGTAGGACTTTCTAACAAGACAGCATCTTCTTCATTATTCAATTCTGTAAAAAAATTGTTTCAAAGTTGTTTATAAGTTGTAAATTTTAGACTAAATACTATAGTATAACCTTTTGAATTAGCATTTACTGGAAATGATAAGATCAAACTGGCCTCATCTCTTTTATTTAATTCTAAAATTATTGTAATTATTAAATTTTTATACAGTGTCACACGAAGTGCAAGCAAATATCTACATTAAAAACCAAAATACAAATTTTAATTTTTTTTCACTTATATAATCTTATAAGCTACATCCTCGAAAGTTTTTAATTTAATTGTTAGTTGTAAACTTCGTCTGCTATGACGTTTTACAATAAAATACTTTTTATAGTTTATTTAGCTTCTGGACAAAAAAAGCAATTAAAAAAGAAGAAGGGGGTGTCAATTTTTTTTGTAATAGCTGATGTAGGTACCCAATTATACCATACCAAAAATTTGCCTTCATACGACTCCGCAATGCTATTAAAATACTTTTTTTCAGGCCCAGCTCCAGAAATTTTGTTACCCCTTGCAAAAATATTTTTGCCGCCGCTCATAGTTACCTACTTTTTAGTGCCCATTAATTAGGTATAATTTCTAAAAAAAACTACCTAAATAACGTTCCCTTGGTGCTACAATTAGATATCTGGAAAAACACATTTATAAATAAAAATATTCTAAAATTGGTATGTAACTGGATTATTTATGAGAATTATTTGTTTGTTAATTAATATTTTTTGTTAAAAGGGTGCATGCTGTGATATTATATTATTTTTGTATAAAATTTGTATATATACCTTAAAAACACACAAAAAGCCCAGCACAATGTAAATACCACAACCACAGGGAACAAAATGTCTATTTCTTTCAAATTAATTAATTTCAAATAGGTAGTGTAAAATTGCAAATAATTTATAAGTTTGACTAAAAACAAAGCGAAATCCTGATAAATCAAGAGAAACCGCACATTACATTACGGCGCGTGCCATTGATCCTTTGTCGGCGCTATTATAAAGAAAGCCGCGTTTTTATTTAAAAATGGGAAATAATAGTACCCTAACTTTTTGCCGCCTTTCGATTTTCGCCGCCCTTCGAATTTTGCGGCTATTCGATTTGTGCAGCTCTTTCATTTTTGCCGCCCCGTGCAATGGCACGGCTGCACGGCCCTGCTTTTTTTGTAATCATTTCAATGAATGATAATCTTAAATAATAAAAATTTTACTTTAAAATATAGTAAACAACTTAATTCATATTAAAAATAAACACCCCTATACCAAAAATATTTATAAAACGAAATCAGTTTTGTTTGTTGTAAATGTCGCCAAAAACTAACCTTGCTATAAAAACAACCAACTAAAGTGTACTGGGGAACCAAAACGACGTTTAATGTTGGGGTCTTGGATAATCTTTTTCCGACTTTTAGCCAGCTTTTAATATTGAATACCTACCCCTATGTGCGTCGTCGGCAAAATTTTTTTTAGCGCGATCACAATACTTGATGGTGAGATCCGGGAAAGTACTTAATTGCCCTATTTTGGAGATTTCATAGGTGGGGCTTACAACCTCAAAATATTAAGTTTACAATGTTATATAATAATTATATAATATTGTAAACATTTATTGAGTAAAATTTAAAATTTACAAACTAAAAATGAATTAGTCAAAAATGACTTTAATAGTTATGTGGCTGCTTTTTCACTTGTACAATGGTTAACCATGGGATACCATGGTATCCCAAAATTTAACAGCCAATTTTTATGTAAAATTGTCTGTCCCCTGAATCCAAAAATGTCGTCAAAATTTAAAAAAGTAAAACAGAAGATTTCCATTTAATATGGAATTGACTATATCTCAAAAACTGCTCAAATATCATAATTTTTGACGGTATTTTCGGATTCAGGGGACAATTTGACATAAGAATAATTATTGTCTGTTAAATTTTGTGATACCATGGTATTCCATGGTTAACCATGGTACAAGTGAAAAAGCAGCCACTAATAACTATTAAATTAGTCATTTTTGACTAATTCATTTTTAGAGAGTATATTCTTATACAAATAACTAATATATCAGCGTGTTCAAAAATATCTGCATTATGAGATAGCTGTAGATTTTTGCAAATTATTAATTGTTCTTTTTAGTTCGTTATTTGTGCCATTTGTAGGTACTCCATAAATGTAATCATCTTTAAAACATTTGGTCTCATTTCTTACATACATAGATTGGCATTGTTTTGAAAATTCGAAGTAGATAAAATAATAGATCAATTTAGCAAGACTCTATTGTAAGATTTATGCCTAATCTAACTTATTTTTTGTTTTTATTATAAAATGCAAATTGGTAAAAAAAATTTAAAAAATAAAAGTAAAATACACTTACCTGGAGATAAACGAGATACCATCTGTAAAATTCGTTTTCCCCTTGAACCCATTTTAGAATTAACGACTTATCACTTTTAAAGAACACCACTTTGATTTATTTTATATTTTTTTTGGTTAGGACTTAACCGTTAAGTCAGGCAACATTGCCAGACGCAGAATCAGCGACGACTTGTTACTAAAGTATTCATCTGGACGCACGATAGATAACGTAATGTTAAGTATATCGAGGACGTTGAAACGATAGCAAAATAGTCGGACGCTGAAAAACAGCATAGTAGAAAATGTCAATTTAATCCTAACCAATCCAAATAAATTTAATATACATTACACTTTTAAACACAGTACAATGTACGCCATCTATGAGCTTAAATTAAATTAGATAAACTTTCATGGACGCTAAAAGGTTGCGTTATGAAAAGACGCTGAAAAGATAAATAGATGTATATATATATATATATATATATATATATATATATATATTGATGGTTTTCCGGGATCTGCTCCGAGTTGTCAGTTTTTGGTTCTTAAAAGAACCGTATGTCTGACGACGTTTCGGTACAATCTCATGTACCATCTTCAGGTCTTATCTGCTGGGCTGCTGTTACTGCTCTGCTGCAAGTTCATACATATAACGCCAATGGAAATCTAAAGCAGCAGAGCAACAACAGCAGCCCAGCAGATAAGAGGGTACATGAGATTGTACCGAAACGTCGTCAGACATACGGTTTCTTTAACGCCCGTGAAAACCTAAAGCAGAACATTGATATCGTTAATTTGCGTGGCGTTTTGGTGGTTTTAAGAGCTGGTTTTTATGCAGTTGGTAGTCTCTGTGTATCGTCTCTTGTGCTGAGGTTTCTTGGTCCTGTGTTCGATGCTAGCCAAGACCCTTGTTTTTTCAAAGTCTGCGTTTCGATGTTCTTCACGTCTAACGTTGATACGTCTATTGGTCTGTCCAACGTAGCTTCCGTCACAATTATTACAAGGAGTTTCGTACACCCCTTGTGCCTCTAACTCTATTTTGGTTTGGCGATTGGAAGTATTTGACCGATCTTTCTTGTGGCGGTAAATGTTATGTTTTTTGAGAACTTTGCCTATTCTCTCGGTTGTCCCTTTCACGTAGGGAAGGAAGGCCTTCGAAGTTGGTTTGTTGTTCTCGTCCTCTGTGGTATTTAACCGGCGTCGTGGTCTAAGAGCCTTTTTGATGATGGTTTTGGAGAATCCGTTTTGCTGTAGCGTCGTTTGGAATTTCAGGTCTTCTTGTTTCTTGTGGTCATCATTCGCCAGCCTTTCGCGTGACAAGTGTCTTAATGATTGACTGCAGTTGTGACGGGTGGTGATGAGACTGGGCGTGTGCCATTATTTATTTTGATTATAAAGACATCCAGAAAAGGTAATTGGTGTTCTTTCTCGGTTTCCATTGTGAACTTAATCTTTTTGGGAATTCTGGTCCAGGAATTTCTTCAGTTTCTCTTCTCCGTGGGCCCAGATGACAAATGTGTCTTTTACGTACCGTAGCCATAACTTTGATTTTAGTGTTGCCGTTTCGATTGCTCGTACTTCTATGTCTTCCATGAATAAGTTGGCTATTGCTGGCGATATTGGGAAATTGACTTTAAAAAAACAAATGTCTTGGCTAGCATCGAATACAGAACCAAACGTATACCATTCGTGAAGCCATTGAAATAGGAAAATGTCCAAAAAACCTCAATAAAAGAGGCGATACACAGAGACTAAGCTTAATGTTGCAAATTAATTTATAAAAAAATACATTTATGTGTATATCTTCACAACGGCTACATACGCAATTTTAATTTTTCTTGCAAAGTAAAGCTAATAATATCACTATTTAAAAAAAAAATGTTTGAAAGATTATATATTTTTTAAGTTGAAAACGCCAAATGTACCAACGTGAGGGGGGATAAAAAATTTCAAAAAAGTTTTTTATCGCTCCGCCCTAATGCATATGCATAAGCCAAACAGGCATTTAAACATCATAGTAAGGACTAAATATCCTGTAAGTTTCATGTTTCTATCTTAAAGTCAACACATTCTTAGAATAATAATATGTTTGCTCCTTTTGAAGCCCATGTAAAAGCAAAATGGATGAAAATATCAAAACAAGTTAAATAGGCATTTAAACTTCAAGGTAAGGACTAAATATCCTGTTAATTTCATATTTCTATATTGAAGTCATAAAATGGATAAAATAATGCGACTTTTTAATATTTCAATATTTTTCTTCTTTTAAAGCTACTGTATAAGCTTCAAAGATGAAAATAACAAAACCAAACTCCAGGCATTTGAACATCAAGGTAGGGACTAATTATCCTGTAAATTTCGTAATTCTATTTGGAAGTCAACATCCTCATATAATGGCCTAAATAATGCGATTTTCTAGAATTTCAAAATTTTAAGCAATTTTTTGTTTGGAAACCGTATGCCAAACTGGTCAATTGTAAGTTTTATTTTGTCTTTGGTATGTAAACTTAATATATAACAACAAATTCGCTGTTCATATTAAACAGCCGTTTTTAAAAAGTTTTAATTTAAATAGGCCGGATTTGACACATGCGAAAAATTAAATAAGGGTGGATTTTGTCCTATGGGACCCTAATGAATATTTCTAAAAAATTTGAGAAAAATCCAAGATGGTCGAGCAACGAGTTTCGGCGTTTTCATATGGATTAACTCTATCTTCACTTTCAATGAAAACATCATTTATTTTCAGTTTATATCGACGGCGTAGACTTTAACGGCGTAAAGTTCTTCCAGCTGAGTTCCACGTGGCAAACCCACGTGAAAAACTTATCGGTGGCGTTAGTCGGCGTGCCGCTGGCCAGCCACGAAATGAACTGAAGCATATCCAAGCAAAATCTCTCTACATATATCTTGTTACCTATTTATATATTCTGCTCTTTTCTCTCGTGGAAAACAGCCGTATACCGAAATACAAAGTAAGACAAATTGATTAACAAATAAGACGAAAAGTGGGTTATCAAAATTAAACTATTAAGTTTATTAAACAGACGGAGTAAAATAAATTGTTAATGCCGAGTTGTTGATAAAAGCGTTGTCTAGTTTTTGACAATCCTGTTGAGAGATTGTATTTTATATTTACTCCGTCTGTTTTTAATAGAGTTTAGCGGGGTTGCCATGATCGGAATTCTACAAAAATAGCGGACAAGAATACTTTCCTTAATAATGAAGGAATCTATTCTCGTCCACCATCTTTTTAGAATTTTGATCGAGCATTTTTATTAATTACCTTTTGAAACAATTAGATAAAGTTATCTACATTAAAAAATGTTAACTATTTGACAGGACAAAACGCCACACAAAGTGTCTGAACTATTAATTTGACCTACTCTGTATATTATTAAAATTAACACAATTCCATTTCTGCCCATTTACTGCTTCTTCCGCCATCGCTTCTAGTCACTATACGGGGTTACCCAAAAAGTAAAACTATTAAAAAAAACTCATTTTATGTGTACTGTTGACAATACAATCCTATGAAGGCTCAAAAACTAACACGTTAAAGACTCAAGTTGAAAATACTCTGTATATGTGATATAGTTTGTAGTTTGTCATAAAACATACTGAGTATGCTAACGACTTAAATTAGTAAGGTTTGATGTTTACTTTTGTAGTCTTGAGGAGAAAACATAAATGAAAACACGTTTTATAGTTTTAATGTGCAAAAGCATTCAAACATTAAAACCCTAAAATTATGTTAAAAAAACTGTGTGAGACTACAAAAACGCTTAATTTATTAAAATTTATCCTGTTTTTATATTAAAAGCTCAAAATTTTGACATATCAACAAAATTGTATGTACTCCTCAGATTATAAAAATAAATTGTACTTGTCCAGTTATTTATACATTCCATTAAACAAAACATTATTTTCATAATATACATCACATTGATAATACCTTAAAATCTGTGACTTTTACTTTCTATAGTAATAATCTTTATAGATCACGGCATTCTCCATTGCACCTAGTGTGCTGTGGAAAATGCTGTGCCCTGATTGGTTTATGGCTTTCTATTGAGAATATTTTCTATAGAAAATAAGGACGCAAATTCCTTGTAATTTTTAAAAATCAACTACTCCATATTTAAAAAAAATAATGAAATGTGTCAATGTCTGGATAACAAGTAATGTATAAATATTTGTACTATTAAATAACGCCATTAAGGAGATTAGAGTATTTGTTTTAAGCATAAATTGTGACTTTAAATTATTTTTAAAACGTAAATTTTGTTTCTAAAACAAAGTTTCAATTTTGAAAATTGTATTGGATAATACTAAATTACATGAATAAATTGTTTTTATTTTATAACCGTTTATTTATTTTTAACGCACACAATTTTAAATTGGCATTGCTGATGTACATTATGCATTTTGGATATTAAAAAGTTTGGTAAATTCATATTGAGCTTAAATTTAATTATTCCATTACATTTTTGGAGTTTTAACTTTTAATATTCTAGTGGTTTTGATTTTAAGAAAGACTTTCGTTTATATAAGATCAATTTGTGATATAAATTAATTTACATTTCTTGAAATTTTCGACTTTTTTTTCTACATAAAATGATCTTTATAGAAAGCAATAAACCAATCAGAGCACGGCACCTGGTGTGCTTTGGAAAATGCCGCGGTCTAGTTGGTTTATTGCTTTCTTTAGAGATTATTTTCTATGAAAAAAAGAAATGTAAATTTTCTGTCCGGTTAATTTTGCTGTATATACATATATTAAAACCATATTTAACTTGTTCTTTGATTATTTTGCAATATAAGTTTATTTTAACTACTATTATAATTATATAGTAATCAATAAACATATTTTTTATATTTTATGTTATTATAATTTATCCTTTATTCTTTTATTTTGCTTTAAATGTGCATATATGTATATGTTGTTATTAAATAGGCAATTAAGTAATCATTATATCATACTAAAATATCTTAAATAATAATAATGATAATAAAATAAGTTTAATATCTGTGATGATTAATGTGCTAACCATAAAATTTATGTTGTAAAAAATGGAAGATTTAACACAGCTCATTCCAAATTAGCCCATTCATTTGAGATCAAAAATATATCTGGGGGTGTTTCTTCAACTTTCTATGAAAAACTATCTCTTAGAAAGCAATACACCACAGTATTCATCACAGCACACTAGGTGCGATGAATAATTCCGCGCTCTGATTGGTTTATTGCTTTCTATGAAGATCATTTTCTATATTAAGTAAAATCGGAAATACAACCCTTAAAATTTTAAAAAATATATAAAGATATTGCCAAGAATATCAATTGTAAAATTTTGAAGACAAAATTTAAGAAGCATTTAATTTTTTTCAGATTAAATCTTAAGTGTATGGGCTAAATTAATATTAGGTAGCATAGATTTGCCGTGTTTTACTTACAGGGAGTCAAAATAATATTTCCAACTAAGTTCAACTAAAATATAAGGTTTTGATAAAAATTATTATTAATTCTGGAAGAGTAATTTTGACGCCATGTATAAAAAACGTGTACTTTAACTTGGCTTTCATAGTACATATAAATTTTAAACAGTAAAATTATAAATATGGATTTTAGAACTGTCCAGTTAATTTAGTTGTGATCACGTGATATTATGGTTGAAACATGTAAACTAAAATAACCACTAAAACTAAAAAAATATGTCCTAGAAATGTTCTAGTATAGCTATAAGTAAGAACGAATTTCTTAACATCTAAAAGCATGGTCTGAATTAATTTGACTATTAAAATGCCAAGAATATTTTTTAAAAAGTAATTAAAATAAAAAAATCTACAGAACATATTTGAATAAGCTTTGCAATAGCTTTAATTTATAATTTATTTATATATATATACAATGTAACAAAAATCAATGTTTGATTGGTAAAATCTAGATTAGATGTCCGAAATAGTTGTTTATAAAAACATAATAAAATTAAATATTTAGAAAGGTGGTTTTATTGGTTTGTCCCATAAAAAAATAAAACAATAGGTGTTTTAAATTATTTATATTTTTCTTTGTTTTGAACAATAGATTACGATTTCTTGAAGTTAGCCACTTTACTTTCTATAGAAAATGATCTTATGGCTTTCTATAGAATCATTTTCTATAGAAAGTAAAGACGCAAATTTCAAAAACTGGTGATCTGCAAACAAACCTATTAAATACAAAAGAAGACAATTTGTAATTTACATAATATATTATATATTTTCAAATTAATTAAAATAAATAGTGTTTTAGGGATGAATATGCAACAAATAAGAATAAACCACTAAGTAGAAAGCAAATCACAGCCATTGCATTTAAAAGTAATAAAATGTCTTGTTATGTTTCTGTTTTAGTTGGAACTGCATCTTGGGTGGCTTTTTGTTTCTTTAATGTTTCCGCTAAAAATCTAAATCTCAGCATACATTCCTCCTAAAAAAGAAAAAAATATATAGAAAAATAAAAATCGCTTTTTTGAACACAAGCACTACTCTACTCTTTATTTATTTTATTTATTAAATTGAAACTACAAATCAACTTGTAATAGCTGTTAACGTAGAGTAATCATTACAATAAAGAAAAAATATATTTATAAATTGAATAACAGTATAATAATTATAAATTGTCCTTGATGTACTTTTTCAATGTTTTTATAAATTTTTCATATTTATCCAAGGATTTAATGGAGTTTGGTAGATCATTGAAGATTTTAACACCCTGTTGTATTGTTGATCCAGAAGCCTTTTTGGTCCTAACTCTGACTGTTCTGAGGTTTTGTGCTCCTCTAGTTTCATAGTTGTGAAAATCCGAGTTTATGTTCAAGCTTGCACTTGTTTTAATGTCTTTGTTTTTTATCTTATATACTAATTTGCACAATTCGAAACTAATTAACTGTTTAATATTCATTACCGGAATTATTTTATAAAGGTCTTTAGTTGGTGTATCATACGGTAGATTAAAAATTGCTTTTAGCGCTTTATTTTGCAGTCTTTGCATTCGGTTTAGATTTCGTTGGGATGTATTTGACCATATTGCTATGAGATAACTTAAGACTGATTTAATATATGAGTTATATATAAGGAATCTGCAACTCTCCGTCAAATATTCATTTACACGTCTAAGCGCACCAACTAAGCCACTAAGTTTGTTATATATTTCACCAATATGTTCATTGAAAGTCAAGTTTTGATCAATTGTTAATCCAAGGTATTTATAGAAAGTCACTTTTTGAATGGGTACATTGTTTATTTTAAGATTCACTTTTGGGTTGTTTTTATTCTTTAAGCTAAACTGCATATATACAGTTTTTATTTCATTCACTATTAATCCATTTGAACATAGCCAATTATGAAACTTTTTTAAGTCTTTATTAATGATGTTTTCTATTGTTTTCATATCCTCATGATAGTACAAAAGTGCTGTATCGTCTGCAAACATGTAGTGTTCTCCTAGTAAACCAGCTTTTGTTAGGCTTTCTACATATAATAGATACAGTATAGGGCCTAACACTGATCCCTGAGGTACGCCTGTCTCCACTTTTAATGGGTCACTGATGCAGTTATTAGTGCTTGTATACTGTTTTCTGTCATGGAGGTAAGTTTTCATAAGCAATATAGCTGGACCTTGAATACCATTCTTTTCTAATTTTTTTAAAAGCAACTCTAATTTGACTGTATCAAACGCTTTTTTCAGATCGACAAAAACTACTATAACTTTTAGTTTTTCTTCTAGTTTTTTAAAGATTTGTTCTATTAGATCCATAGTGGCACTTTGTGTGGAGCTGTTTTCCTGGAAGCCATACTGTTTAGATGATATTTCAAAGAAGTTTATAAATCTTATTTTTATTAACTTTTCAATAATTTTAGAGAAAATTGAAGTAATAGATATTGGACGGTAGTTTCCTGGATCTTCTTTACTACCTTTTTTGTATATAGGAAGAACCTTAGATATTTTACATTTTTCAGGAAAATTGCCAGTCTTAAAGCAGTTATTTATACATCTGAGTAAGGTTTCTTTTATGTTAGGATAAATCTCTTTAATATCTTTAGTAGTAATGTTATCATCACCTGAGGAGTTACTAGAGTTCAAAGATGCGATAACTTTTCCTAATTCACTCAGTGTACAAGAGGACATAAAAATAGTTTTATTATTTGTAACTTCTTCAAATTTTATATCAGCTATTATTATATCTTTTTGCAGTTCTTTAGCAACTTCAGTACAGAATTTATTATAGATATTAGCTATTTCTTTACTCTCAGTGTATTCTTTATTTTTGTATTTTAATCTATCTATCTTATTATTTGTTTTTCTAGGTTTTATATTAATTATTTCATCTATAGTTTTCCATATTTTTTTCACATTACTTCCTGTTGACAAAAATTTTTGTGTGTAATAAGATATTTTTGATTTTTTTATCATTTTATTTACCATGTTTTTTAAGGTTTTGAATTCATTTTTGTAGTATCTGCTTAGAGGATTTTTTTTCCATTTTCTGTAGTACTTGTCCCTTTTTTTGATTTTTTTACTTATTTTTGCATTGAACCAAGGCTTTTTATAAATTTTTATGTCTTTAGCACTAGTACTTTGCATTTTAGCTTGCTTAATTATGTTTATAAGTTCATCAAAAATATTTGTATTTGACTTTAGATTTTCATTTAGTATTTTTTTAAATTTTTCGTAGTCTGTTATTAATATTTGTTTTTTTGATTTACTATTAATTTTTACTGCTCCTGGTAATGTAAGTTTGATGCATAGCATTTTGTGATCAGATATGGATGTATCTTTAGTTTTGATACAGGAGGTAACATTTATAGGTGCAATTACATGATCAATTAAAGTACCATAGTTTGTTTTTAAATTTCTGCGTGTTATTTTGTTTTTATTTGAATGTAAATTTTTTATTTCATATGAGTTTAATTCAATGATTTCTTTGTATTTTTTTGTTTTACAGTTGTCCTTTAAAATGTCAATGTTTTTATCACCAACTATAATACAGTTTTTGTTTTTCTCAAGAATTTTATTTGTTAGTGACAGGAACGTATTAAGTTTATTTTCTGGGGATCTGTAAACACAAAATATTTTATATTTAAAATTTGTTAAATTTACTCCAACTATATTACATTTTTTTATATTATCTGTATTTACGCTTTCAAACTGTACATTTTCTCTTATATAAATTGCTACTCCACCTCTGCAACCCAAAATATCCCGGACAACATTCGTGATATTCATACGAACCTCACGTCGTGATTTTCACAAATTTTATTCATACTGATATCATACGGAAGTACCGCGTAATAAATGAAAATCATACGAACGTCACGTCGTGATTTTCACAAATTTTATTCATACGGACATCATTCGGATGTCAATGCGTGAGAAATGAAAATCATGTCGTGATTTTTTATGCCAACGGTGTTTGGATAATCATTTTTGCGCCGTACACTAAGAGAAAAATTATGTTAAATCAACAGTATATGCTGATAAATACATTTAATATTTTCTTGGATTTAAATTAACTATATATAGTTAATTTAAATCCAAGAAAATATTGAATGTTAAACTGTTGATTCAATTGTTAACATACTTTTTCTTTCAATTTACGAATGTGGCGCAAAAATAAATATCCAAACATGTCGGTGCACCGATGGCATAAAAAATCATGTCGTGATTTTTTATGCCATCGGTGTTTGGATATTTATTTTTGCGCCACATTCGTACATTGAGAGAAAAAGTATACCTACATATATATTGAATCAACAATTTTTGTGGTTAAATACATTCAATATTTTCTTGGATTTATATAGTTAATTTAAGTCCAAGAAAATATTGAATGTTAAACTGTTGATTCAATTGTTAACATACTTTTTCTTTCAATGTACGAATGTGTCGCAAAAATAATATCCAAACGTTCACGTTTTGTTAAACATTGGAATATCTTTTTTAATTGAACCCGGACAACATTCGTGATATTCAAAGAACGTTTTATAAATTATAACGGTGTAATGTGAATAACAAACTAGGTTTTAAATTCGCAGTTCGCAGGGCTCATATGCATGCGCAAGTTTTGCAAATATCACACCGTGAGTTCTACATGATATCACTGTGATGAAGCATGTGTATGCACTCAGGATATCACGTTGTGATATCATCACTTCACCAGGAAATCCCGATTGTTGTCCGGGATGGTAATTGCTGGGTAAACTATTACCTTAATATTTTTTTAAAGAAAACACACTTTACCTTTGTTTTATTTGGCACATAATCCGAAACCCTGTCCCATCTATCAGTGCACCCTTTTGGATATTTTATCAGGGCCTCCTCCAAAGCCTTCTGCTGCGGCTGACTCCAATTTTTTACTTCGTCTCCCATATCCAACTCCTTTTTCGTTTTTTGCTTAACTTTAACGGGCTCGGGCTCAGCATCTTGCTCCGAAGCAGGCTTGTAAAACTTCTCTTTGAGCTTGTTGGCCATGTATGTAACCTCCGGCACAGATCTGCCCAGGGCTTCGGCGATGTTCTCCCACCGTTTCTGCGCGCCCTGCGGGAATTTTTTCACCAATCTAGTGAGCTCGTCCAGATCGTCGTCTGTCCACAAACCGCCCGACAAAGGCGGCGGGGCGTTATTTGTTTGACCTTGAGTCGAGGTGCATTGACCTTGTTTCGAGGTGTAGTTGGTTTTGAAGCTCGGACCTTCAGGGAGAGTGAAACCTTTGTTTCTTTTGCGAACCGTTTTTACTTTCGGCACAATAATCATTTCTTCCTCTTCAGGTTCTTTAGATTTTTCAAGTTGTTCGGATACGATTGTTTTTATTAAGCCTAAAGTGCTTGGTATGGAAATGATTGTGAACCATATAAGGCGCGGAACTTGAAATGGTAAGGTGTCGTATACGGTGGGTTTTGGTAGTTCCAGTAATATTTGATCGGTGTTGTCTTTTTTGTTTTTCTTTTTTTGCATGGATTTCTACCAAAAAATATATATTATATTCATACAGGGTACTGAAAATATACATAACTAATATTGGGGGTTGGAAAATGATCTTAAAACAAAGACGTCCATAAAGTAGCTACATCACACCTTTTAAAGGAATTTCAGACACCTCCCCCCGTGTTACGCATAATATTACTAAATATATACATACATACATACATATTTACTAAAATCACAAACCAGTATTTATGATTAGATGCATTTTATGTTTTTTATTGGTTTAAATAATGCAAGAATGTTTACTTGTATGATACTATGGAGTTTGATATATTTTCGTTACGGGTTTAATATTATTACGAACTTCCAACTTGAAGCCAATTTGGAGCCTCCAAGACAATTAAGTTTTATTTGGATGACACAGAAAAAAATCCGGAAAACTAGGGTCAAATTCTCATAACCCAAAAGATATCTAGGGTTACCATACGTCCCGATTAAGGCGGGAATGTCCCGATTTTTTTAAACAATGTCCCGCGAAGTTAATAAAATGTCCCGATATTTCTATTTTTTTTCATTTAAATTTGATTGCTCTAGGTCTAACTAAAATTAAGTATGAAACCTTTTGCGGTTTGTATTGTGAGAATCTGCGACATGATGAACAATGAGACTCGGTCTGAGTTGCTGCGCTCTTTATGATTGTGACCCGTGTCAGTACCGATGCAGTGGTCGGCAGCGGTCGACAAATTGATAAAACATTTTGCTCAAATCAAAGCCTATTTTCTACCGCTCGATGCTCAAATTTTTGCATCGAAAGCCTTTTTTATATTTATTTTGAGCTGTAAAGAACACTGTTCATTAAACAGCCCAATTTCAACCCTGGAATCTGGTTGTAAAAATGTACGCCAAGGTAAGCAAGTTTTCCTGTATTACTTTTGTTACTGTTTTTAAATAAAAAAAATCGTAGACATTAAGCATTTGATGGACAGACACTGGTTTCGTTGCGTCAGCAACAGCTGTAGTCGAAGTATAGTCGGACCCTTAAGTTGATCAACAACAGTAACGAGAAGAACCACAGTTAAACAACTGGCGACTCTACTTAGTCCATCGACCCCAACCGCTTACACGTTAGGTAGGTCCTGGTTTAAACGAATCCAGTGTCATACCAAACAAATGCCTTAGAATTAGAATTGTTTTATTCAAAAACAGTAGCACTAATGCAAAAGTGATATAGGAAAAACTTGCTTACTTTAGTCTGAACCATCATATCGCCTCAATGGATGACAACTTATTACATGACACCATGTATATACTTGTGTTAAATATCTATATTGATCTTGTTATAATGTTTATAAACTTATATAAAGTTAATTTGTATCTTAAGGACAGTTTAAATTTTAAAAAAGAAGTAATATCTACGCCTTATTTTTAAATCTTAATGTATGATCAACTAAGAAATATGAAAAACAAGAATGTCTAGTTCGATTCGCTCTAGAAATTATTTTGACCTGCTTTCGATTTTTAAAAATCTGGCAACCCTAGAGCCCCCGAAAAAAAAGTTGGAAACGCTGTAATAAAACAATTAAATTACTTACAATAGTAAACACCTTCTCATAATACGCCGTCCAATTAACCAAATACTGCCCGATGGTAATCAAAACAAACAAAATTAAGCATGCTTCAATCATGCCCATCTTTCGGACATACCGGTAGTAATAAACCGCGGATCGCCAGTTAGGCAACCCGTTCACTAATACTTCATCGTAATACTTTCGTTTTGATGGACTCCTCAACACTTCGTATATTGACACTAAGTTACGAAACTGTTCTGAGGTATCCACATCCAGATTTTTGTCCGGATGCAGTTTGAGAGATGAGCGCTTAAAAGCTGAGCGGATTTCTTGACTTGAGGCATCCTAAAAATCAAATTTCCAATTTTAAATTACCCAAAAAAATAGTTTTACATATAAAAAGCAGGGTGTGGTTTGCACACAGTTCGCCTAGACCAAAGTTTCAACAAAAAAAATATATAAAAGGTGAACCACATATTTTTCAAAAGTCCATATTTCTACCTTGTAAAAAAATATATTTTCAAAATCGGCTACGTAGCTATTTGTTTTTTACAGGATGTTGTATATTTTGGTATATTTACTCCTATGAAATGTACTATAATTTTGTTTTAATTAACAAAATAGCCAAAATCATTAAATTGTTGCGATTAATATTTAATAAAAAATGTGAAATTTTTTACTTTTTGATATGAAACAACAATTTTTCATAGTTTAAGTCTTTATTTAAACGAGAACAACTTAGATAATTACTCAATTATTGTATTTTAAATATGTCTACTGTTATAGGCACTGACGCTTCTAATTAACTGTTTTATATAATTTTCAGAATTTGGGTTTAGATTAAAGTTTTTAGAAAAGGTTTTGTAGGAGTAATGTAGCTGTTCTGAAGCCTGTTCTGAGTAGAACCCCAGGGCTCGACTTGTTATGTCAATGAAATCAGCCACATGGTATACGACGCTGTGTATTTTTGGAGTTATTTTGATATTTGCTTTTTTTATTTCTTCATAAAAGTTGTCAATATATATTTTGTAGTTGGCATCCAGATTTTGCCCAAAGCAAGCAGCTACTACTTTGTCAAAAGACTTCAATACAGGTATGTACTTATTTCCTAAAATGCAAAAAATATATTCAAGACCTATTGTTTTTATTTTACCTAGGAGTTTTGTTTTTTAATAAAAATAGAAAATTTTATAATTTCCGTCTATACGAGATAAATTCAAAACAAAACAAAAATGCAGGAAATCAGAATTCACCTGGGGCCAAATTTTCTAAGTTAGACACTTTTTTAAGTAGTTTTCTTGAATTGTTGCCATTTAAACGGTTGTAATGGTCAAGTTGTATATTAGATTTCTTTAGCCACTTTTCCGTTATTTCAGGCAAATCCTGTTTTATTCCATCCAAAATCTTTTGAGCAACGCCCATCAACAAATGAAGTTCTGGGGGTGCCACGTATTTAATAATTGGTTCAAAGACATCTCCAATTACGAGAGGGATGTTAACACAATTTCCTAAAAATATTGTAATATGTATATACGTATACGTATATCTGCTAATTGTACTTGTAATACAATAAAAGTAAAAAAACTAAATGTAAACGTACCAAAATGTTTTGTTTTGCTAAGGTCACAACCTTGTTCTTTCCATTGATTGGTGCATTTTGTTATATTCTCGATGGTTCTTAGTTGTCCCTTATTTGCCAAATCTTTATTGCTTATATCACACCAAGGGCAAGGGTGACACGATGAGTTTGACTGAAGGCCTAATATGATCATTAGTAATTTTAAATCGGCAGCAAAGGTGTAAGAACATATACCGCAAATTTTATGAATTTCAATGACTTTAAAAAGCATTTCGATATTTCTGTATGTCTCAATCATTTTGGGTCCTAGACCAACTAGCATTAATTTTTTTATGCTGGTGCTTTTACAATTTTCTTTTTCATCTGTTTCAGTAAGGGAACATACAGAAAAGCAAAGCTTTAAGGATCCTCCCCCACTGTCAAGTCCAAATTTAATATGAAAATTATTCTCAGATAAGTCTCGTTGATTTAGTAATTGTACAATAAATTTGGATAAGTTGGAACAGTAAATCAAAGGCACAGATTCTGTCACATGTTTTCCAACATCAGCTTCGGGTACAATTAAATGAGAAAAAAAGTCATCCAAAGAATGACTAAAATCTTTAATGTTTTTAATCGCATTTGGTTCTATTAATTTTTTATCTACTTGTCTTATTCGTTGAGTTAGCATTTTTAAACTATTTTCAGGTAAATTGCAATCGATTTGTATATTTCGTAAGTCATTTGTTGTTATAACAGCTTTATTTTCATTGTTTTTTTTACATAATAACTCCAATTTCAGTTCGACTCCTCGTCCTTTATTTAATTTTAAAGAGGAACTGCTTTGAGCCACTTCTTCTGTTAATAGGATTTGACTTGCAATTTGTTGACTACAGTTTTTGGCAAGTTTAATTGTATTAGACACTTTACTTCTTATATTACATGAATGCCTTACACCCTTTTGAATTTTTGTGTGACACTTAAGACATAATTTAGCTAATTTCGGTAAGACATCAGTACTTTTTCTTTTCTGCCTTCCGACAGGTAACTTTTTAACAATACGTCGTATAGATGGTAGTTGTATTTGGGCATTTGGAATGGGACAAAAACGAGCAACTTGACAAATGGGGCAACTGCACATTTCTAAATTTTCATGCCTTTTTAGCCTAATTTTATCCGTAGTGTATTCAACCACTGCAGTTACTTTTTTTTGCATTAATTTAAAATAGCAACTGCGACAAATAACCGCAGGCAAACAATCATCATTTATGTTATATTCAGGTATTAAATCCAATATTAAACTAAGTACTTTACCCTTTATTTTCACATTTCGCACAGCTTTATTAAAACACATATAGCACACTGCAAACCGAGAATCTTCATGAGACCGAGGTACTTGTCTATGAGGTGACATATTTTTGTGTACCTACAGTTGAAAATTATTTGACAGTTATCTTTTTGAAAGGTAGCCAAAGCCGCCTAGGTACCTACTTGATTAATTTGTAACGTAGCCGAAACCGCTTACGTATTTGTGCCTTCTGAAATAAACTTAAATGTTTAATTTTTAAAGACAAAATGTTATATATAAATATATATATATATATATATATATATACAAAAACTCTTTAATTATTTTTGAGCCTAATTTTCTTATTAAGAGTGTAATAATAGACAATATTAACCTTCTTACATGAGTATAAATATAGCACAATACAAGATTCGTCATAAAAAAATAAACATCCTGTAAAAAATAAATAGCTACGTAGCCGATTTTGAAAATATATTTTTTTATAAGGTAGAAATATGGACTTTTGAAAAATATGTGGTTCACCTTTTATATATTTTTTTTGTTGAAACTTTGGTCTAGGCGAACTGTGTGCAGAGTTACATCCACTTATTAAGTATTATTATTAAGTAATTTAATGCACTGACTTGCAACAGTGTATTAAGTTATATTATTTAATGCACAGACTTTGATTCCCATGAATATTTTTTTATGAGCATAAGCTACAGCTATTGAGTATTGAACGTCAATATGATTATAATCAAATGATATACTTTCTTGGAATTTGATTATTTAGTTTTTGGCCTATATTTCGCCATTTTGAAAAACATAAATAAGACATGTTTTATTGTTTCGACCTTTACTTGATGAAACTCCATGTCACTAATATATAACTGGATAAAAAACAAACACTGTTTTTGAGTTTCACGAATTTATTTAAATTTTATTTGACAATTGTTTCGCTAACACTGTAGCTTCTTCAGAAATGATTTCAAACTTTATCTAATAACGAATTTATATAACACAATTATTGCAGGTAATGGGTTTTTTTATAAAATATTAGTACTGTATAATTATTTTACCTGTCGAAGTATAACAAAAGTTGTAATAAAATAATTTTAGGGATTTTCTATCTTATATAATATTAGAATAAATTTAACAGGGGGGAATTATTAGTTTCTATTTGATCATTTAGAATAATATCAGATTTTTTTAATTTATTAATTTCCAAAGATTCCAGTAAATTTAACTTCGTACCCTTATTTTCAACAGGCAAAATTTTGAAATTATTATCAAATGAATGGTTTTCTTGAATTAAATGGTTAGCAAACGTTGAATCTGTTTTTTGATTACACTGTGCAACACCAAAAATCAAACCGCACCGGACTATTTTTTTCTGAAAATATACCTATCCAATAGCAAAATCCTCGCTGGGTTTGTAAAAGTTAGCTCGATTTATTTTTTTATGGCCGTTTGTATTTTCTAGCTTCATATACCCCAATTTAGACTTATTAATCGATTTTTTCGCATATATTCGATTTATATCGTCAAGATTTTTTGTAGAAATGTAGTTACTGAACAAATAAACCTATTTTGTGAACAACCTTTATCCCAAAAACCCAATTTGTATTGAATTAGATCTATCGCTAAATAAAATTGAAAATAATAGAAATTTAAAACCATTAGCTTCTGAAATTATTATTAATCAATTTCCGATACAAAATAATAAGACCCAGTGTACCTCCTTTAGAAACAATTAATATATTACATAACAGGTTATGTAACAGCTGTTAGATCTAAATAATAACAATCCAGTTATTAAAAAAAACATATTGAATACTCTAGAAATCTGCCTGAAACAAAATTACTTCCAATTTAACAATAAAATATACAATAGCCATAATGGATTAATTATGGGTAACCCACTTAGTCCATTACTAGCTGATATTTTTGTAAACCACTTAGAATTAATTATTCATAAACATGCTAATATGAAACAATTCTTATATTGCAGTGGCGGCTCGTCAGGGTAGGCCTCTGAGGCCGCGCCTCACCCTTAAAATGAAGGAACGAACGACTTTTTGTATTTATATTTTTGCCTATTACAAGTGTATTTTTACAACAGTTCTACCCAATAAAAAGTAAAAAACCAATCAATAATCGTCCATTACTAGTCCATTACTAGCTGATATTTTTGTAAACCACTTAGAATTAATTATTCATAAACATGCTAATATGAAACAATTCTTATATTGCAGTGGCGGCTCGTCAGGGTAGGCCTCTGAGGCCGCGCCTCACCCTTAAAATGAAGGAACGAACGACTTTTTGTATTTATATTTTTGCCTATTACAAGTGTATTTTTACAACAGTTCTACCCAATAAAAAGTAAAAAACCAATCAATAATATTAAGCGTAAATAAAAATCCAGGCGCAAAGCGCGTCAAGTTAACGTGCATCGTTGAGAGTCGCTTGTTGTATGTATCTTGGCTTGGACAGAGGCGAAATTTTCACAGCCTCGGAAGCTCCCATTTACGTCTTGACTTGGAATATTATTACAAATTTTATTTTTCTTAGTTTTAAAATTTAATTTCATATTTACAAAAATGACACAATCAACAATAATCAAGTAACGTCAAATTGACAATTTGCATTCTATCATTGTTCATTTTGGTAATTAATGTAAATTTACACAAAATGTCCGGGTTAAGAACCCTATACATAGGTAAAGGATACGTGAAATGAGGTACAAAAGTATAAATTAGAAATTAAATTTTAAAACTTTATAAGAAAAAGAAAATTTGGAATACTGAGTTGAAATTTTACAATTAGTCTTTGGATAGGATATCCTAATAATATTATTTGTCATTTTGCTCCAAAACGAAAAATAAAGGTATTCCTGAGAGTATTTCATGTTTTCATGTTTTTCGACCCCCCGTATAAAATTATCAAAAAGTATAGTAATAGACTTTTAAAAACAAGCAGAACTTTTTATGAAGAATGATTTTTGGTCCATTTGTCCTCTTGGGCCCTCTAGTATAAAAAGTATACGCAATAAATATAAAAAATGGAACCTACTAAGTAGGTAAATCCAAAAAATATCAAAATAAAATCCAAATTTAAGCTACTAGGTTAAACCTAAAAAATACAATTTTATTTACGATAACAATTATAGGAGGTTACAATAGGTTAAAAATTTTAATATTGTAAATTACAATTTCTAATATTTTATTTATTGTGATGAGTAGGTTGGTAGGGTAGGTAAACCCTACCAACCTACCCAAATAGATTTTGCCAACCGTGTTTGGATTTGGAACCAACTGCCTAGACTTTGGGGGGGCGACTCCCCCCCCTACACCCCCCTTAGGTCCGGCCCTGAGTAGCATCATTCACAATACTCTACTCTATTAAATGAAATAGTCAAAATTCTACTATTTGAATTAGTACCAGCATTTTTTACTAATAAAGTAGTCGTTTTCACTTTAAAATGGTTATATTTTACTACTTAAATAGTTAAAGTTTGACTAATTTAAGATAAGTCACCATCTTTGACTGTTTCGAATAGTTAAAAGTACCTAATTTCTTTAATCATTTGTTTAATATTAAGAACAATATTTATAGACAAATAAAATTATTTTTTATAAAAGTGACTGATAGTGATTGGTTATGACATCCGCTTAACAAGTTTGACAAGCGACAGATCGGAGTTCAAAACCCGGCTGGGTCACAACTTTTTTAAATTTAAATCTACTAATTTGACTATTTCATTCAGTAGAATTTGACTAATTATTAGTGACTGTTTTTTCGCTTTGACATATAGTCATATACTTATGACTTATAATTATTTATTTTAGACTAATTCATTTTAAGAGAGTATACTAGTCGAGAAGTGAGTTTTCTGTAGAAAATGTTTGTCTGAAAATACGAACAAGAGCTTATTGGATTCGTCTTCTAGCAAAGAAAAAAATTGATTTTTTCATAAATAAAAATTGTTATTTCTAAAAATTAAAAAAAAAGTGTGTGTCAGCTCTGACGCGTAACTAGAGTTTACTCTTTATGAACATATGGGCGATTGCACGCGTTACTGATGGGACAATCAGAAAAAAATTTAACTATTTTTTGATATTTGTTGCTATCAGTAATGGGCTAATGACGGTAATATTTGGGTAACTATTAAAGCTATAGTTTGTGTAAAATTTTCAGTATCAGAGCTATTAAAATGTTTTTTATTTTACGAACTAGAAATCAATAAAATGTTGTTACTGATGGGACAAGAAAAAGGTCAAAAAAATGTCTGGTTACTAGAAGAGAATAATTCTCTGAAACAGAATAATGTTGAAGAAAAGTATAGATGAACCAAGTTGCAGATGCAGTTAGTATAACTTATTTTGACATCACTCATCTTTCAGTGTAATCTATGTAGGCAATGCATTTTGATTTCTCGTTACTGACGGGACATTACTGATGGGACATTTATTATTATTATTATTTATTATACACTGAAACAAATGTGTAATTGGTTAATTTAACTAAATAACTTCAAAAATAATTTTAACATGATAATAACAACTGCAAAAAATTTAAAAGCATTTGAACAAATTTGATTTTTCGGATTCATAGTGCTTCTTAATCAACATATGAGTACCATCAACAAACTTAAAATAGTGTGAACTTAATATATCAGGTATTCAAATTTTTTTGTTTTTTTTGTTTGCTGCTTTTTATTTTCTCTAAACTTTCTTTTCCTTTCTCTTTCATTAATTTTTTGCTGCATTTTAAACCCACCATCATTTTCCGCCAACTTTTTAATTTTTCTCTGTACTTTTTTGCGCTTGAAGCATTTTTAGACAGGTAAGTCT